CTGTAAAAAATTAAATCGTTAAAAAAGGGTCAAATGACTGGCAGCTACGGCTGCCAAACAAAAAACAAAATTAAATTTAGTGCAAAAAACTTTTACAGAAATTTTTCTTAAATGTTTTACAGAAAAACATTGTATTTTACAGCTGTTATCTGGATTATTACGATCAAACAACCTAACTGTAAAAACAATCCCATAAAAAGAGTCAATGAATGATACAAAAACCATAAAATCAATGTAAAATATCCAGTGCAAAAGCAGAAATCTTCATTACACTTTTTAGCAGACACACAGTTATTTCACACATTTCCTGAACAGACTCACACAGACATCAAGAACCGGCGTATGAATCACAACAATGGTGATCAACTCTGAACTGCTATAAAGTCACATAAAGGCTTTGTTGATTGTCACCATTGTTGAGATTCATATGTTGATTATTGATGTGCCTATACTCCTAAAAAGATAAACCAGCTAAAAACATTTTCTTTATAATAAATAATATATATTTTTTAAATTTCAGATTGTTATAATACTTAGGGATGGGCAACGATTAATCGCGATTAATCGCATCCAAAATAAAAGTTTGTGTTTACATAATACATATGTGTGTAGTGTGTATAATTAAATTGTATATATAAATACCCACACATGTATGTGTATATTTAAGAAAAATGTGTTATAATTAATATTATATATAAATATTTGATATATTAATGTGTAAATATATATGAAGTATATACAAGCAAATATTTCTTAAATATATACATGCATGTGTGTATTTATATATACAAATTAATTATACACACTACACACACGTATATTATGTATACATAAACTTTTATTTTGGATACGATTAATCGCGATTAATCGTTGCCCATCACTAATTGATGCTTCAATATTTCAAGGTCCAAGTCCATCTATATATAATGTGATCTCAACTAATATATTCAGAAATTTCACTGTCATATCATATCAGTGTAGGCAACGACAGAAGTTTGAATAGAAGAATAAAACGTCATTAGCATGCGTTAGTTTTAAATGTTCGCTGGGAAAAGGAAGTGAAAGAGGAGAACGTGGGCGCAGTCATGGTAAGGGAAAAGAGGCCATCTTGGCATGCCAATGTTACAAATGGAGCTTGAGGATAGTTTTGAGTTTTAGTGCCATGATGAGTTGATCATCAGTTGATCTAGTCAGATTGCAATTAGAATTTTTTTTTTGTCTTGAATTTGAGCAAAATTAGTTGATGGATATTATTTATCCCCACTGTGAATTCCTCCCATGCATGTCGGTGACACTTTCTCTTGTCTCTCTCAGATATCTCAGATTTGGATCCGTTATCCAGGAGTCAGTTTGACAGGAGCCTGGATTCAGACCGTGAGAGTCCTGCGGCCCCAGCGAAACGCAGATACAAGAGAGTGTTGAGTGATGAAGAGGACGAGGATAACTAGACCTATTTACAGCGCAGTACTATCATAATTTTCTACTTTCTCTCTCTCATTCTTTGCTTTTCCTGAAATTGTGTAGTTATCTAAAAAAAATGTTGACCATATTTGTGGTGTTTTACTATTTTGATTGTCATTTCCAAAGGTGGTTGTAGTGATATTTGAACTTGATACACCGGCATTCATTTCTAATATTTTCCTCTTCTATTTTAGCGTCTGCAAAAAAAAAAAAAAAAAAAAAATTGGGGTCATTTGAATGTCATTGATGTTACTTGATGTCATTGAAAATGAACGCTTTTAAACTCAGCATCGCACATTTCTATAGGCTTTGGCACAGTGTTCATAATTGTCACATGACTTCTTATATTATAAGGTAACAATGTTTGTATGTTAATAAAAGTTTCTGTATGAAATGATCAGCTTTGTTAAATCTAAGACTGTATATGTTTGGACAGTTAAATGACAGAGCTTTGATATGTCTATAAATGGATTTCACAACCACTCCAACTAAAAGAAATAATGTAATTTCATTTTAGCTTAGCATTTGCCCACTTTTTTAAGCGACATATTTGAACAATTAAGCAATTAATGGAAGTCCACCATTGCAATAGTCCAGCCTTGAAATTACAAGAACCTGGACAAAAACATATCTCATTATTTCGTGTCATTACAAATAAAAATTCAAAAGTACATTTTTAATGTTAGCATATAAAGACAATGAAACCATCTGAGGCTAAAGCTACCGTTGGCACTTTGGTGTAAGGAACTCAAATAATGTTGTAGCGACGTCAGTAACTAGCCTTCTGGTGCTCTTTGCTCATTTTTTTTTTTCTCTGAACATTTTTACGTTTTTTATTTTATTTTATTTTTTACTTCAGTCGAAGTGGTACAAAACTTGGTTAAGGTTTTGTCACTTGCTATGTGAATAAAATAAAAAAAATCATGGACATGATTCGAAAAGGTTAAATGATCCTGAAAAAAAAGTCACGACGCTTGTTCCTCGCAGTCAAAAATGAATAGGAGATGAATTTAATTTAGTGAAAACCTGGCCAAACAAAATCTTACTGAAAGCTCATTTTTTGAGATATCAAACTCCGATTTGGAACAACTTTTTTTAGATTTATGACTTCGATTTACTTGCGGTTTTAGAGTAAAACGTGTTTTTGAAAATAGATATTTCATATAAAAAAAATAATAGTTTTTAGTGCATTTTTTTCATAACCATAAATGTAAACTTAAATTCAGCAATAATTTGCAGAGTGTTGTCTTTGAAAAGAGATCGAACGCAAGTCTGTGCTCTAAAGCATTCGAGATTGACGACTAGTTGGAAATTAAAATTGCAGGTCTATGCTAATAATGTGAATAAATGGATTATAACTACTGCGTAAATATAACGGGGTACCATAAAAACCCCTAGAACTAAAAAATATGAAATAAAAAATATTACAAACTAAAAAATAGTACATTAATTTAATTGAAATTAAAATACGGATAATGTTTGACCGTCATGCGAAGAACAATAGCAGTGTTTCTCAACTCCAGTCGTCGGGACCCTGCTGGAATAGTTTAGATGTCTCTGTATTCAACACACTAAGAAGCTGGTGAGTTGAATCTATTGTTTCAATTGTTTAAAAACTTATAAAAATTTGAATTATTTAAAAATAAAATCATTTTATAGTAGAAATAATCAATGATATCTCTTAGTCGCAGTTAAATGTAATAACTTTGCAGTAGAAATGTAATTCAAAATTTTAATAACTCGTTTAAGATTCCTTTGAAAAGAATAACAATACAAAGCTTGTTTCACTATAACACGAATACCAAGTGAAGAATGCTAAGAAGGTGAAGAGCACAATAGTGAAAGAGCATCATTGACCGGGCTGTGCGTATACTTTCATCTTGTGACTCCATCATTGCAGCTCTGGGTTATATTAACAGATATGACCCAACAAGCATGATCCTCAGCCACGATGCTCCAGGAAGATCATCTTTCTTGTCCTCGTTCAGAGAAAATGAATGGACTTTTATTCTCACAGGATCCATACATGGATCTATTGTATTCATTAAAAATAAATCCCAAATAAAACAAAATTCCCGCCTATATTGTAATATTTAAACAAACAAAATCCAAGAAACAAACTAATACAATGCGGGTAGTTGCAGCATGTGTCTCTGTTGAAATAACGTTTGCTTTTAATACAGCAGTCATTCTTTTTGCATAGGAGTCATTATCTTCACACATCTGGATTTGCGTGTTTTCCCACACTCTCTTCCTTGCTAAACAGCTCCAAGATGATCACATTGTGAGTACAGCCCTCTTCAAGTTTTTTCATTGGATTTAGTTCTGGGCTCTGACTTTCTTTCCGAAACGAATGACTTAGATTTGAGGTTACTATCACGCTGAAAGATGATCTTGTATTTGTCACCATTCGTGATGTCATTGTGCCCCATTGTCTAGTTGATGATGGCCTAAAAGATCCTACAGAAACAGCTGATTTTAAACGTGGGGATAATCGGCATCATCAAGGAATAATTTACGACAGGCCATTGAAGCATTAGAAAATAATGCACATCCATTTATCATAATTCAACAGCCTGCACTCAGGCTGAAGAAAAGGTTCTATATACACTGTCAGAAAAAAAGGTACGAAAGCCATAGATGGAAGTCAATGAGACCAGAAACTGTCTGGTTACTGATATTCTTCTAAATATCAAAAAATCGGCTGAATGGATTCGAAAACGGTGAAACTCAACTGTTTAACTCTGGGGGAGTTGTAAAATTAGCCTATTTCCAAAAAAAGTGGAGTATCCCTTTAAGGACCTTTGAAATACCTAATATCTAAGTCGCTTCGGATAAAAACATCTGCTGATTGATTAAATGTAAATATGGAAGTGTAATGCAAGACCTGGAACTACTTCAGCCATGCGTTTCCCAGAAAATAACTGCACTCCTTACAACATTCGTCAACCAATCGTATTCAAGCACTCAACAGTGCCGTAATAAAATATCAGGAGTTTGGATGTAATCGGTTAATTCCGGAGTGCCATCCAACGTTATAAAAGGGTATGAACACTTATGCAACCAGGTACTATTTGTTTTTTCTTTCCTTAAAACTTCTGTTCATTTGTTCCTTTGAATATTGCACTAAAAGTGGAAAAAGATCTAACATGATTTTACCTGATCTCAAAACGGCCCGATTTTAACTGACATCTATTGATTTGTTATACCCTCTGAATGCTAATATTTACAGGTTACGCATCTTTATTTTATGTATATTTTTTTCCATTTCATAAAATTAGCAATATCCAGAGGAACAGAGCCTTCATGGGAATCATCTTCATGCTGAATTAAAAAAACAAAAATCTTCATCAGTTGTTTGAAGAGACTCGTTACAAAACTAATTGTAATGATTTATGTGTAAAATATTCCTTCATAGGATATCTTGAGGGTGTGGGAGGAGCCTGTTATTCACACGTCAATGATGTCACATGCGTCTATGATGTCACATATGTTGGGGGTTTGGTTTTGGGTGCTGGTGTTGAAGAATGTGCAAGACTCCTCATGGGTCTCTTGAGTATAAAGCTAGATAAGTGACTGGTGTTGTAGTCATCAATGCATACAGCGATCATGTGGACGCCTCTCATCTTTCTCGTCCTGACCTTCTCCTCAGGAGCACTTTCACGTGAGTATTTCTCTTCTTTATATACTAAATACACGTCATGAGATGGAAAATGTAAAAAAAAAAAATGAAAGTATGATTAAAGAATAATAAAAAAAATCATGATTTACTCACCCCTCAAGCTGCATCAAACCTTCTGTTGAACACAAAATAATATATATTAAAGAATGTTGGTATCCAACAGTTCACGGTAGCCATTGACTTCCATTGTAGGAACAAATTTATTATTTTATATATATATTATTTTGTGTTCAGCAGAAGAAAGAAACTCATACAGGTTTGAAACAACTTGCGGGTGAGTAAAAGATGACAGAATTTTCATTTTTGGGTAAACTTTCCCTTTAAGGACAATCACTCAAAGAGTTTAGTCTATGTTTTCTTCTAGAATATTTGTGTTAGACCCTCAGCTGGAAATTGTTTCCAATATTTTAATTTAATACAATTTGTATTTCAATCAATTGCCACAAAGCCTTTGATCACAGTCTGACACTGAGCGATGGATGTAGAAAACCAAATAACAATCTTTAAAACTTTATATCAGCCCTCCCATGTAATCCTTTACTAATGGACAATCATTGCAACTCTTGCTGTAACTGAAATTTAAAAGCAATTTTTTTTTTCACTGTACATGAATGACCAATATGGCCAATGTTTTAAAGCGGCCTGTTGCGAGGCTCGCTTTTAGAGCGATTGTTGACCATTCTTTGATTTTATTACCCATAGTGTTGGAGTGTGAGTTCAGATGGTAAAGCATGGCACTAGCAGCACCAGGCCAAGGCTTCAGTTTCCTAAAATTGATTTGGATAAAACGCCTGCCAAATGAATAAAATGTAAAGGAAAGAAATGTGCATATAATTGCTTACATGTTCAGATAAGCGTCTAGACACACAATGTGACCAGTGAGACGGCAGGATCTTATCCAGCGGTGGGATTACACTGGTACCCTCAGCTGAAAGTCACATGAAAAGGATTGAATGGGATTGTAGAGGTCGTGTGACTCTCTTTGCCAACCCTCACATTCTCGTGCTTTTTCATCTCAGACCTTTTCTCTTCAGTCTTTTTGAACTTAAGTTAACCTTTAGCCACAAAAACACCTTATTTACTTAGTTTAGCTTACAAAATTCTAAAAAAAAATCATTTTAGTGTTTGTATCGGGCTGCTTATAAGGGAATTAAATTAAGATAAATGAGCACTTTGCACATCTAATGATTTTTTTTTTTTAATAATTGGGCCTGTTAGGAGAATTAAAAATCTAGAGTTGCCCCATGAACAGGTTTTGATTTGAACAAGTAAATTACCTTTATTAATTACTCATTTGAAAACTTATTTTAATGCTTTTTCAGAAATGAGATGATCTTCACTATTTCTTTCCATCTTCTAGAATCCAGAAGTCGTTTTACACATTATCGTTCATGGAACTCAAAAATGTATCCGGTCTGGAGGGATGGAGATCCCAGATACAGAGACTGTTGGAAAGGTATTTGAACTCTCACACACTCACACACGCACAACTTAATTCACCCTTCATTTCGTTTAACTGTTCAGTGATTTGCACGCGTTTGAAAGTGTTAAAGCAGTGGTGGACAGCAACAACGTATTTTTACTTTGTTAGCCTGGATTGTTTTTTAAGTATCAGGTTTTGTTCTGAGTATTTTTCATTTTTGAAAACTTTCTTCAACTTTTATTTCAATGCATTCCAATAATGTAGTACTTTTTACCAGTCTTGTAGTACTCGAGACTCGGACTCGTCTCGAGACCATATTTTAATGGTCTTGGTCTTGTCATGGACTCCTGTGCATTTGGACTCGGAATTGACCCACTGCGCAACGTGACGTCGATGTGACGTCTTTTTCGTGTCATTTTTGGACGTCCAAATTCGGTCCAATGAAGGGGTTGTTTTGTAACGCCAGACGACGTCTTTTTTTCGACGTCAACTGCACGTCTAATTTGGACGTCTGTGGGACCTCCGTGTAAGGGCTATTTATAGTCCAAATGTGGTTACTTTTGGACGTCTTTTCAACGTCAAATTTAGACTTATATTATACGTCGTTTTTCTAACTTATATAACTTTACAACATTACAGTAATACACATACAAATAAATCACAATTCAATAATCACCATTTTAATCTTTATTCAAAAATAAATTGCCATGAATAGCATCAGAAGGGCACTGGACATATCAAGCACAATTATGTACAAATAATTAGATTGTAATTTAATTATGAACAAATAATTAGATTGCAATTGAAGGGCACCAAATATATCTAGCACAATTATGAACAAATAATTAGTTAGTAGATCTCTATGAATGTAGTGTAAGACATTTACAAGTGATGAATAGTTCACACTTTATGCAGAAAGTGCAAATGATTAATTCATGCCTTTACACATCTATAACAGGTGTTAAACACTGTAGTGTAAAATTGTAAGTTAATTTAATTATGAACAAATAATTAGATTGTCATTGAAGGGCCACAGTAAAGCACAATTATGAACAAATAACTAGATTGTAATTTAATTTATAATTCAAGTCCTCTCGTCTTGGCTCATCAGGGAGTTGTGAATCCTCTACCTCCAATCTTTGCGGCGCGTGCTTGAGGTGCTCAGAAACATGCATCTTGATTTACTTCTCTGTGGCTGCAGAATCAAATTTCATGATCCCTCCTACACAAGCAGAAAAATATATGATTTAGATATATGCAACGGCAATCTGCAATCATTCACCAAAGGCCCCACATTTGTAAGCAAAAATATGTTTCCTTGCATCCATTACTGGATAAATACTAAGCCATCTCAGCAACTGTTAACTAACACTTAGGCTGTCTACAAAGAGGCACTAAGCAGACTGCACTTTTTTTTAGAAAGCTTGCATTCTTTAATGTGTGCATTAGAATGTTGACCATTGTCAACACCTTATAATAACGTTCAGTTGTAAGTCTGTAAGTGGTTAGTTAATGAACTACTTTGAAAATATTAGTATCATTTGCTAATCATTTATGAATGTTTTGTCAATTCCGTTACAAGTCATTTACAAGTTATTAGTAAATTGTTAATGTATAAAACATGAATATACGTTTCATAAATGAAAAAAATAATAATGTATGCATCTAGCAATTAGAGGGGGAAAGTGTTGTAAATGTCTTGTATTCATGTACATATCATTTGAAACAGGTAAGTAACAGTTTTTAACAGTGTGTAAATGCATGAATAAGTCATTTACAACACTTTCTGTATCCCCTAATCTAAAGTGTATAGTAATCGCTAGTAAATGTGTTACAAAGCATGCGTAGATCTTATGCCTTATTGATTCTTGAAGTGGTAATCTACGAATGAAGTGTAAGACATTTACAAGTGATGAATAGTTCACACTTTATGCAGAAAGTGTAAATGATTAATTCATGCCTTTACACATCTATAACAGGTGTTGAACACTGTAGTGTGTACTGCAGTGTAATTGCTGACTAGTGAGGTTGTAGACAGCTGTCTTCTCTAAAACACATGGAGTCTAACCACTAGGCACCTGACATTTATGAAACGTAATGATTAATAATTTACAAAACATGACTATTCAATTGTAAATGACTTGTAATAATTTACAAAACATACATGAAGTGTTAGCATATCACTTGCTAAACATTTATGAATGTTTTGTATATGATTAGTTCATCATCAACCACTTATAAATTACTTAAAACACTGAAATAACAGTTTGTAATAACGTTCAGTTGTATCAACCTGTTGTGCTTTGTGCAATTTACAAAAGTTAGCTTTGTGCTTGGTAGAGGGCTGCATTGGGATTGAGTACCGCCGGGTCCCACGGGAGTGTAACATCCGTTGCGGGAGCGGGCGGTAATGGTCAGAGATTCGGCGGGGTGAGGAAAATAGTCCTGCGCAGGGCTCTACTTGGAAACACATTGGACTCAATAAAAATTACTATTGAGAATAATTTTGCACAAAAAAATAAAGGGATTAAAGGGATACTCCACTTTTTATGAAATAGGCTCATTGTACAACTCCCCTAAAGTTAAACAGTTGGGTTTTACCATTTTCTAAATCATTCAGCAAATTTTCTGATATTTAGAAGAGTATATCAGTAACCAGATAGTTTCTGTTCTCATTGACTTCCATAGTGGGAAAAACATATATTATGGAAGTCAACGGGACCAGAAACTGTCTGGTTACTGATACTCTTCTAAATATCAGAAAATCGTAAATAGTAAAACTCAACTGTTTAACTCTGAGGGATTTGTAAAATTAGCCAATTTCCAGACAAAGTGGAGTATCCCTGATAATACAACACATCAACTATTTGTCAGAGCAGACTGTTTTCAGTTGAAGGCTACTTCAACTTCAAAGTAATAAGGACCACCACAGGAAGTCATTCATACCCAGAGGTATAACAGTTTGTACTGACTCACCTTTATGCCATGAGAGGAGAATAATATTGAGATCTGTTACTTTTAACTTTGCTTTCAAATATGATTTAATCAGTCAGACTTTGAAGGGTTAAAGGAGTAGTTCAAATTTTAAAAAATAAATAAAAAAAAGCTTTTGCTGATAATTTACTCTGCCCCATGTCATCTAAGAAATCCATGTCATTCTTTCTTCAGTCGAAAAGAAATTAAGGTTTTTGATGAAAACATTCCAGGATTTTTCTCCATATAATGGACTTTACTGGGAACCAAACGGTTCAAGGTCTAAAAGACAGTTTCAGTGCAGCTTCAAAGGGCTTTAAACGATTCCAGATGATGAATAAGGGTCTTATCAAGGATCCTTTGAGTCATGACTCGAAAAAAGATTAGTTCATTTTGATGAACGAGTTCAAACAGGAGAGTCACGAACGCTCATCACAGAACAGAGCAAGGCAAGCATTTGTGCTAATAAAACTTAAACTTTTTTATTTATTTATTAATGAGCGATCGTTTCGCTAGATAAGTCCCTTATTCATTGTCTGGTGTTTTTAAAGCCCTTTGAAGCTGAACTGAAACTCTCAGTTGGACATTGAACCGTTCCCATTGAACTCCATTATATGGAGAAAATACTGGAATAATCCTGGAATGTTTTCAAAAACCTTAATTTCTTTTTGACTGAAAAAAGAAAGACATGGACATCTTGGATGACATGGGGGTGAGTAAATTATCAGCAAAAGCTTTCAAAAGTGAACTACTCCTTAAAGAACTCTAATGATATCTTTACCCCCTGATAGGGTTAATATTGCAAATATTCTATTGCAGATATAAATTCAAACATTTAAACATAAAGGCTAAGAGTATGAGCCATGAGTAAACTGGCCAGATATCTGTGAAAAATAACTTGCGTACCTAAAGTTGTCGACCCCCTGAATTCAGCATTTAAAAGTAAAAAGAATTTCAGTATTTATCAGTAAAAAAATACATAAAAATAAATAAATACCTTTGAGTTGGACAGTACGATGTCTCATTGGACAACTTATTTCAAAACACACCTAGAGAAATAAAATAAAAATACCAATGACCATGATATTCTGTTATCATAATAGTTAAATTCATTATTATAATTATGACCTTTATAACATGATATTTGCCATCTATTATTTAGCTGATTATTTAGCCTAAAGGCTTCTTAAGGACAATCTCACAAAAAAAAAAAAAAAAAAAAAAAAACTGGGGTTAAGACTTCTTTCAAAAGCATAAATCCTACAGACCTAGAACTTTTGAACAGTAGAGTACAGTATGTTTGAGGTTTTGCTTACTAGTCGAGTTCATAGCCGTGGAGATTGTCTTGGACAGGGGGTGCAGTAACTTAGGACATCAACATGATCTTAGAAAATAACATGCAATGTGTCACAGCCAACAATGTTACATAGGATTAGAACATAGGGTTTATTACAAGGAAGCAAGCATATATAATTTCTCTTTTCTGCATTTCACCTCTCCTCTAGCTAAGAAAAGAGAAAGTATATACATAAATATTATTAAATAAATGCATATGACATTACTATCATGAATAAACAATAAATCCCCCTTTTATTGTGGACGTTTTTTCCTCATGAAATCACTTTTTTTAATCAATCTTTGTAACGTTAAGTGACGTCACTGATTAATAATACATCGCATTATTTTAGGCTAAATAAATTAGCTTAACGTTACTTCCAATCACCCATTGTAAATTACCAGCAAAAAAACTATCAAAAATTATTATCTACACAAAGATAAAACCCCAAACTTATACAAAACAGCTTCAGAGTAACTTACCTTAGCTAACTTAGCTGCTAGCCTCTTCTGAAAACGATTGAGATGCTAACGGACTTTTTCGAAGACCCAAAATCATTTCTATAAAGTAAATATTCAACAGAAGGGTATCAATTACACACAATAAAGGTGTCAGGAACATTTTTATGTAGTATTTGTGTGATTTTGTTAACTTAACTTACCTGAACGCAGTGACAACAGCGAGAGACGCTAGTTGGTGTTTGTCAGTTGACGACGGCACGACGCTTCCTGTTTCAATTCAAACTGCTCGCGCGCTCCTGTGATTTGAATGTTCACGCGCACGCGCATCAAAGGCACGCACGCAGCATTAAGAAAAACATCTTATAATAATGTATAATGTCATTAATATTAAATCATGAAGTTAAAACTAATTTTTTTAGTTCTATGATATTTGTATACCATATTTGCTTTTGATTTTATTTTTATTGTAGAGGGGCCTATTTATATATAAATAAAAAAATAAAAATAAAACAAATATTACAAATCAATAATTTCCAGCAACTGTCAAAAGACGTCCAAATGCCGTCCAAAAAAAGTTACCCAGTTTAAGGTCAAATGTTGGACGTCAAGATGACGTCCAAGTTGGGTCATGGTTGGACGTCCAAATAACAGACCTAGTTTGGACGTCGAATAGACGTCCACAATTGGTCATGGACCGACGGACCCAATATAGACATGATCTGCACGTCTATCCGACGTCCAATGTTTAGTGGGGACTCGTACTCGAACATTTTTTTTTTTTAGGACTCGGAATTATTCCCGAGTCCACTCGAGTTCAATTCAAAATATTTTTCATGATTATTAATGTATGTTAATAAAATATTTCTTTAAATTGATTGACACGCCTAGTGATTGGTGATTTTCTAGTGCGCAACTGCGCATGACAAATTGTAATAAAATTACTTTTAACACCACCTACTATGTGGCCTTTTACCCTAAACTGATCATATTTTTTAAACTCTAAGTAAATTCAGTAAAAAAAAAAAAAGAAAGGATTTCTCTAAGTAAATAAAAGTAAATTAGGTAATCAACCCTCACTGGTCTCGGTCTCGACTCGGACTCGACTCTCTCTCTCTGGTCTCGGTCTCGACTCGGACTCGAGTGAGGTGGTCTCGACTACAACACTGCTTTTTACCTCAACATTTCGAAAAACATGTCGTTCCTCGTTATTTTGAACTGATGAAATCGACACCGCTCAGACACGTGATAGTCCGCGAACAAGCTGATTCTTTTTAATGAACCTGAATCAGTGAACGATTCATTCGTGAACTGGAGCGATTCGAATTAGTGGTTCGATAAGCGCTTGCGATTCGATACTGATCTTGGATTCATTTGGCTAAATATCAGGTACAGTGTATAAATATTATAGTAAAATATAATAAAATATGCAATATAGTATTTTTGAGCTAACTAACATGCTATATGGTCATTGATTGACTTTCCGACATTGTTCATACTGATTTATATATAAATGTCATTTATGTATGTAGGTCAGATATTTCACAAGCTATTGACATACCTTTATCTTTCAACATAACTTCTGATGTTCAGTCATATTCATTTGGTGCTAGAGGAACACATAACTCTAATTATGCCCTTACATCTTTCCGTTGTTGCAGAAGTTACAAATTATATAAAAATAGGAAGTTTGCATAGCGTTCTTACATTGTTAACACATTTTGCTAAATGTGACGTCTGTTTTTTATGTTTATATCAACATAAACATATTTGTTTTTTCCTGAATTCTGAGCATAATGCACTGAGCTCAATGTGTTTTCAAATGTCTATGGAGGAAAATAATTCTTCATTTTTACACCATGTTTGCATATGCTACAAGTGGAAATTATTCATTGCTATTATTTACTCTATTAGTTTTTTTTTTTTTTTTGTAAGTAGAAATGTTATACCTGCTACTACCTTTCTTTTAAAATGTGTCTGCAAATCAAAAATGTTTTGGTTTTTTTTGGCCATAGGCGGCGAGGTGACATTTAAAGTCAGAAGTGATTCTCCAACGCTGACAGGAGCCAAAGCCACTTTCAACATTGATGTTGGTTTCCCTCAGAACCAGACAGCACTTCCTGATGGACAGGTGGTGTGGGCGAGAAACTGTACCATTAATGGTAAGTAGTTACCAAGCTAGTAGTCACTATGTAATATTTTATTCTTGCATTGCCATAGATACAAATTTTTTAAACCAATATTGCGTTTTTATACATTTTATGTAAAGAAAAATATGTATGTTTTTTGTATTGTAAACGGCACTTATTATTGCTTGTAAATTAAGCAGAAGAAAGAAGTGCTGCCATGTGGTTCTTAATTCTTAATTTATATATCTACACCTCAAATGAATTAAATGTGTCTGTTAGGAACGTCATATACTGTGGGACAGACTGTATACCCTGAGTCCAACATGCCTCAACAATGGACAGGTGTCTTTCCTGACAGGACACCCTTCAATAAGACCTCCAACAAAAAGTCCCGCTTCGTCTATGTATGGAAGATGTTGGGTAAGAGCACGTTTAGGTTTAAACCTGTAGTCTTATTCTAGTCTCAAATACACACAGAATTGAGAGATAGATTAACTTATGCAAGTAAGCATACTCATGAAAACTTAATGGGTTAGTTTGCCCAAAAACAATTTGATACATTTCATTTTTTTTGGTGAACTATTCCTTTAAGGGTTAGAATTATGGACTTTAGGGGTAGCTTGGTTGTTTCATTATTGGTTGATTTTTTTTAAATTTTTTTATTTGTATTTTTTTCGCTCTTTCAGGAAAATATTGGCAGGTGGCTGATGGTCCCTCCTCTCTACTGACCATTGAAACAGACAATGTGCCTCTTGGTTCTTATTCCATGGAAGTGGTCATTTATCACTGCCGTGGCAAAGACAAGTTCATTCCTCTTGGTTATGCATCTACCCAGTTCTCCATCACTGGTGAGTAGTTTGAAAACTGCACATTTATCTGGCACTTTTTCTCCCATTGGTTCCCCTTTGGAACTAAAATTCCTCAAATAACTTTTCAGTGAAAGGTTCTTAAAGAAACCATTTTTAAACCAAATAATCTAAATAACATTTTTCAACTCTAAAGAACCTTTTGTGGAATGGAAAGAGTCCATGAAGTTTCTTCCTTGCACCATAGATGCCAATACAGCGCTTTTATTTTTAAGAGTGTAGGAAACCTCTTATCATACATGTACTTAAAAAAAAACATCAAGCCTAGTTTGTTCATCTGGAGAGTAAACCAATGTTGTCATTCACTGATCATATTCCTGCAAGCCCCTAATGAAATGTCCTCTTCTATTCTAGACCAGATTCCTTTCGCGGTGACATTATCTCAGGTTGGTGACATCAACCAGGGTGACCAAAGCTTTATCCAGAACAGAGCTGTGTCCTTTAGCATTGATGTGCATGACCCGAGCCAGTATCTCAGTGGATCAGACATCAGCTTCAACTGGGATTTCGGTGACAATAGTGGAACTCTAATCTCTCGAGAAGCTACCGTTACCCACACATACCTCTCCACTGGTTCCTTCAGGCCACAGGTGGTTTTGATGGCAGCCATCTCAAACGGTTGTCAGATCAATCCAACTCCAGCTGCCACTGTTGTACCTCCTGTTTCCGTCACAGGTAGAATTTCATATGCAAACTTCATATTTCATGTCATTTCAAGAACAGTTCTTAATCCAAAAAGAGATTTTAGAATGACAATCCCAAAGTATTCATCATTTGCTGCCTTTTTCTTTTTTGCCAGATGATGCTACAGCATTGGAAAGCATTGTGCTGACTGTTTCTCCTCAGCCTGATGATGGCATGCCAGTGGCAGATGATGTGGCCACTGTAGCAGCCAATGATTTGGCAGTAGCAGATGATGTCGCCACTGTGGCAGCCAATGATTTGGCAGTAGCAGATGATGTCGCCACTGTAGCAGCCAATGACTTGGCAGTAGCAGATGATGTCGTCACTGTGGCAGCCAATGATTTACCAGTAGCAGCTGATGTCACTGTAGCAGCCAATGATTTGGCAGTAGCAGCTGATGTCATCACTGTGGCAGCCAATGATTTACCAGTAGCAGCTGATGTCACTGTAGCACCCAATGATTTGCCAGTAGCAGCTGATGTCATCACTGTGGAAGCCAATGATTTGCCAGAAGCAGCTGATGTCATCACTGTAGCAGCCAATGATTTGGCAGTAGCGGCAACTGATACAGCAGCTGACGTAGATAATGTTGCTCAGGAGGTTGCTGTAGACACAGCTGTAGCTAGTGAGGCTGCTGACATAAATCTGGCAGCGACGGTTCTCCCAGAAACCCCTGCTGATGTAGATGACACGGCCTCTGTTCAAACAGTCATAGAACCAGTGGCACCGACTGGTGATGCAACAATCATCATCACTCCTGAGGCAGTGGATGAAGTCGCAGCATCTGTCATACCTGCAACCGAAGCCATCACTGGTGAGAAACTTCTTCTAGATGATGATGACCATAACCAATTCATTGCATTGTATATTAAAACTATTTCCATTGGTGCTGTGATTGCAGGTGTAACTAGCATACCTGAGGCAGCAGTGAGTGAACCAGAAGCTGAACCGGTGGCAGGAACTGAAGAAACACAGGCAGCTCTAGTCATTGCCAAGCGGCAAGCTCCAGAAATACCAGCAGAAGCAAACTGTGTGATTTATCGTTATGGCTCCTTCTCTACAACTCTTACAGTTGTTCGTGAGTACTTCCTTTTTTTATCACTAAACTATACTATGACTGAAAATGAATCTTTTGGGCATCATTGTTCCCAGAGAGGAAACATGCTAAAAAATGTTTAAAAAAAAAACATGCCTCATCTAATGACAACAAATATCGTGTTGCAGTATCAAGACCATGTTAAAGGTACAATATGCAAGATTGTTTCGCCACCAGGGGTCGCTAACCTCTTAAAATTACAAAGGCGTAGTATATTAATGACGTATATTAAGCAGAATTATGGATCTTGTCGTCAAGCTGATGGATCTTTTATGGATGAGTGAATACAGTGATGTTTTTAACATGACTGTAGTATGAGGCAGGGCGCGATTGCTAGACGTATACCAGCGCCACACGCAACGCGAGTCCCGCGGATATAAAGGAATAAGGACATTTAATTCTACCGAACTACACGCTGAATAACTCACACAGGTCAGTTTATTAAAGGAATTAAACTTGAGGTAACGCAGCGCTGCTTCACTCGCTCTAACAGTTTCACTATCACACTAAACGGCATTTGAGTGTGTTGAATGTTGTTAGTTAGCTTGTTTGTTGGCTGTATGAGACTAAGCTAGATTAACATACAGATCATATTCTAACTTTTCATCTTGTTGAACTACATAACATTGATTAGTTTTATATACATTGATTTGCTCACCTGTTTGCTCAAGTAACATGCAACAGTCTGTGAAGTCGAAGTTAGTTGCGGACGTGGAGCTCTCGGCGTCTCGAAAAATGTTGATCTTCATTTTAGACCTCTTTTTGTCTCAAAGTCTGCTTGCCATGGTCCATAATGTTTGAACTAAACCCTGCTAGGGACGCTCACGCTGTTGAGCTCGCACAACGGGCATAACCGACCCAGTTGTCCACGTCTGTCGCCATGGTTACTATTGCAGTACGAGGTCAAACCTGGTGGAAACCGTGGGTAACGCGAATATGACGTCATTGACTGGCGACTCCTCACCCCTGCTCACACGCCCCGTTTCCTTGGTTAAAAATCACAATTTTATCACGATTTACAAATAGTTGGAAATATTTGGGATATTGTAAGAAATCAACTAATCAAAATATATAACATTGGCCTAGTGGTTTTTGGATATTTTACTGCAAATATCCTGCATATTGTACCTTTAACACACTGTTAACTACTAATCTAAGATAAAAGATAAGAGACATTGAAAATTTGCAGAGAGGTGTGCACGCCATGACTACTGTATTAAGAACAGAACAGACTTTCACATGTATTATGATGAAACCTTCAATTGACTGACAAAAAGAAGCACATAGATCACTAGGTTATACTTTCTCTTAAGGCGATTTAGGTAGTTACATTGTACTTACTCAAAATAAGTAGTAATAATAATAATTCAATTTCAATTCACGTTTATTGTATAACGCTATTCACAATACACATCACTTCAAAGCAGCTTTACAGAAAGTCGATGCAAATATATTACAATTTAGAGCGTTCTGTTATCAGAGGTAACTGTCTAAGTTAAGTATTTCCAACGCTATCGGAAAATTCGTATGAATTCATACTAGTGATTAAAAAGTGGCTAATTCGTACTAATTCATACGACCTATGATCCATACGATCGGGGTTACTTAATATTTAATATTTAACAATATTATTGATCTGTGTTGTACTACTTTAATGTTATCACTGTGAAGCTGCTTTGAGACAATCTGTATTGTGAAAAGCGCTATATAAATAAATGTGACTTGACTTGACCTCACTCGTACGAGTTCATACGATTTGTCTAAACCCACGTGATGGGTAGATTTAGGGGCGGGGTCAGGGGTAGGTCATTCGTACGAATTCATACGAATTGGCCAACTCATAAAATATGTGCGATTTGGCAACGAGTGAGGTCGTACGAATTGTTACGAATTAGCCACCTCGTAAAATTCGTACGAATTTCCGAATTGGGTCGGTATTTCAGAAATGTAAATATACAAAGTCACAGTTAGCTAAAAAAAAAAAAAGTATTAATTTAAACCATTATTAATGCAGATAAAATGAGCTCATTGAAGTATGTTAACAAAGGATTGACATTTAGAAATGAACTACATGTACTTACTATAGAGTTACAATTTGGGATTTGTTTAGGATTAGGTCCATGCATCATTTACTGTTATTACGATAGTAAGTAAGTGCATGTGGTAACTTGTAATACGTCACCTCAAAATAAAGTGTTACCGACTTCTACCTCAACTTTAGTGTCTAGACTTGTGTAAATGTAAATCAAACTGTGTAAAAGCACAAAAACAGCCTGACTACAAATGTGTTTAATGGCCTCTACATGTATGTTTCCCCCTTCAGAGGGAATAGAGAGTGTTGAGATTGTGGAGGTGAATAATGTGGTGGTCATGGCCACCGAGCTGGAGCAAAATGCAGTGGACCTAACAGTCACATGTCAGGGAAGGTAAATATTCATTCACTGTCATTTATTTCATAGACTGTAAATATGCTTTACTTTTCAAAGCTGTTCTATAATAGATAGTCTTAAAGGGATAGTTCACACAAAAAAGAAATTCTGTCATTAATTTCTCACCCTTATGTCATTTCAAACCCATAAGACCTTCAGTCTTCAGAACACGAATTAAGATCTTTTTGATGAAATCTGAGAGGTTTCTGACACCTCATAGGCAGCAACGTCATTGCAACTTTCAAGGGCCAGAAAGGTAATAAAGACACAGTTACAATAGTCCATGTGTGGTTGAAGCGACGAGAATACTTTTTGTGTGCAAAAATCCCCTCAAAATAATGACTTTATTCAAGAATCTCTTCTCTTCCACGTCATTCTAATAGTCACATGGACTATTTTAACTATGTCTTTTCTACCTTTCTGGGCCTTGAAAGTTGTTATGATGTTGCTGCCCATGGCCTATCGGATTTCATCAAAAATATCTTAATTTGTGTTCTGAAGATGAACAAACGTCTTACAGGTTAGGAAAGACATGAGGGTGATTAATTGATGACAGAACTTTCATTTTTGGGTGAACTATCCCTTTAAAGTCGACATGAAACTGAAGTTGCGATTTTGAATTAATGAATGAGGCATTTATATAGCGCTTTACTATGTACTATGATGAGATATTTGGCATGCTAAATATCTGGACCCGTCTGAGATTCAAAATCCTGCTGTGTGAATGTGTTCTGACTTAAAACTACATCGGCCACGACTGACAGCCAATGAGAGAGCAAGAAACAGGGCAGCGGGAAGTTCAGGGAGGACTTATAGACCACAATATCAGTATTTTAATATACACTCACCTAAAGGATTATTAGGAACAGCTGTTCAATTTCTCATTAGTGCAATTATCTAATCAACCAATCACATGGCAGTTGCTTCAATGCATTTAGGGGTGTGGTCCTGGTCAAGACAATCTCCTGAACTCCAAACTAAATGTCAGAATGGGAAAGAAAGGTGATTTAAGCAATTTTGAGCGTGGCATGGTTGTTGGTGTCTGAGAATTTCACAATCTGCTCAGTTACTGGGATTTTCACACACAACCATTTCTAGGGTTTACAAAGAATGGAGTGAAATGGGAAAAACATCCAGTATGCGGCAGTCCTGTGGGTGAAAATGTCTTGTTGATGCGAGAGGTCAGAGGTGAATGGGCCGACTGATTCAAGCTGATAGAAGAGCAACTTTGACTGAAATAACCACTCGTTACAACCGAGGTATGCAGCAAAGACACAACACACACAACCTTGAGGCGGATGGGCTGCAACAGCAGAAGACCCCACCGGGTACCACTCATCTCCACTACAAATAGGAAAAGAGAGCTCACCAAAATTGGACAGTTGAAGACTGGTGAAATGTTGCCTGGTCTGATGAGTCTCGATTTCTGTTGGTAGAGTCAGAATTTGGCGTAAACAGAATGAGAACATGGATCATCATGCCTTGTTCCCACTGTGCAGGCTGGTGGTGGTGGTGTAATGGTGTGGGGGATGTTTTCTTGGCACACTTTAGGCCCCTTAGTGCCAATTTGGCATTGTTTAAATGCCACGGCCTACCTGAGCATTGTTTCAGACCATGTCCATCCCTTTATGGCCACCATGTCCCCATCCTCTGATGGCTACTTCCAGCAGGATAATGCACCATGTCACAAAGCTCCAATCATTTCAAATTGGTTTCTTGAACATGTCAATGAGTTGACTGTACTAAAATGGCCGCCACAGTCACCAGATCTCAACCCAATAGAGCATCTTTGGGATGTGGTGGAACGGGAGCCTAACCCTAACCCTAATCTCCATCAACTGCAAGATGCTATCCTATCAATATGGGCCAACATTTCTAAAGAATGCTTTCAGCACCTTGTTGAATCAATGCCACGTAGAATTAAGGTCGAAAGGGGGTCAAACACAGTATTAGTATGGTGTTCCTCATAATCTTTTAGGTGAGTGTATATTTACAATTATATCAAACAGAAAAAAGCACAAACATTTGCCTGGGCTGCTGGGTGATATGGCTGTGGCTATGGGGATGTATCTCTGAGTGAAGAGTCTTCTGGAACAAGAAAAAAATGTAGGGAGGAACTTGATTTTGTCTGTGGGGAATTGATTGGATGTTTGTGGTTTGCTATTGGTTTATCTCATGTGAGTGACAGGTTGTCCCGCCCTCACGCCGCTATAAACTTCGTCAACGAAGAGAGGGAGAGGAAGTTGTTTTGATTGAAGATTATATGATTACATATTCATAGAATAATGAATAAGAATTGTCATTTTGGATCTCATGAGGACTCTAAACTAATTATAATGATGACAGTGGTCGAATACAAAATATAATTGTTGTTGTTGTACTTTATTTCACCATCTCACCATACAATCACAAAACAATTAACAATACACATCCACCACCCAATACATCAAACCATACACAGCTTCCACATTATCAAAGCTTAAAATATTCACATTCAGGTGAATGAAGTTAAATTTTGTTATATTTGCTCTTCAGCCTGCCTAGTCAAGTCTGCACCGTGGTGTCGGACGCGGACTGCACGAGTCCTGTCCAGAGCCTGCAGTGTAATGACGTGACCCCAACCCCTGAGTGTCAGATAGTGCTGCGGCAATTCTTTAACAACTCTGGCACCTTCTGCATCAATGTGTCTCTGACCAATGACGTCAGCTTGGCTGGAACCAGTGCAATGCTCAGCGTGGCTATAGGCACGTGTCATTTAAATTCAAAGCATATCTAAAATAATACACATTTCTTTTCCTGAACCTGCCCTAGAACCTCACAACTTCTCTTGTTCAAACCATAGACACAAATTCACCAAGGAATACGGCAGGAGCAATACTGGGAGTCCTGGTTTTTATTTGCGCTTTGGGGGCCATTGCTTTTACCTACAGGTAAGACACCAATACACATTTCATCAATCAAATATGTTATTGTATCCTGCCTAGTTAAAGGTACAATATGCAAGATCGTTTCGCCACCAGGGGGCGCTAACCTCTTACAATAATAAAGACGTATTTTAAGCAGAATTATGGATCTTGTCGTCAAGCTGATGGATCTTTTATGGATGAGTGAATACAGTGATGTTTTTAACATGACTGTAGTATGAGGCAGGGCGCGATTGCTAGACGTATACCAGCGCCACACGCAACGCGAGTCCCGCGAATATAAAGGAATAAGGACATTTAATTCTACCGAACTACACGCTGAATAACTCACAGGTCAGTTTATTAGACAAATTAAACTTAAGGTAACGCAGCGCTGCTTCACTCGCTCTAACAGTTTCACTATCAAACTAGACGGCATTTGAGTGTGTTGAATGTTGTTAGTTAGCTTGTTTGTTGGCTTTTTGAGACTAAACATACAGATCATATTCTAACTTTCATCTTGTTGAACTACATAACATTGATTAGTTTTATATACATTGATTTGCTCACTTGTTTGCTCAAGTAACATGCAACACTCGCGTCTCTGTCAAGTCGAAGTTAGTCGCGGACGTGGAGCTCTCGGCATCTGGAAAGATGTTGATCTTCGTTCTAGTCCTCTTTTTGTCTCAAAGTCTGCTTGCCATGGTCCATAATGTTTGAACTAAACCCTGCTAGGGATGCTCACGCTGTTGAGCTCGCATAACGAGCGTAACCGACCCAGTTGTCCACGTCTGTCACCATGGTTACTATTGCAGTACGAGCTCAAACCTGGCGGAAACCGGGGGTAACGCGAATATGACGTCATTGACTGGCGGCTCCTCACCCCTGCTCACACGCCCCGTTTCCTTGGTTTAAAAGCGCAATTGTTTCACAATTTACAAATAGTTGGAAACATTTGGGATATTGTAAGTAATCAACTAAACAAAATATATAACATTGGCCTAGTGGTTTTTGGATATTTTACTGCAAAAAATCCTGCATATTGTACCTTTAAAATGAAATAATGCTATATGACAGTAACCCTTCCGTATGTTTGCGTGCAGGCGGTTTAAGGAGTACCATCCACTGAGAGAAGACGATACCAGTAGCAGTTTAAGTTCTGGAAGAAGCTCGGTGTCTTTAATGCTGTTAAGTCTTCTGAGCCGGAGACCCACTGCCGAGAGCCGTCCACTCCTAATGGGACGAGTGGTGTGAAGGAAAGCTCAAAGCATATTACATAGTCTGTACAATCTCTCAACAATAGAATTAAATATATACAGCGAGGACCTCATTGTACTGTAATAACAAAAAAAAAATCATATGTAAGATGCCTCACATTGCCATCATAATAACAGATATTTCCTGTCAATGGCTAGCTTCTCTTGGGCTGCAATAATCTGACTTATTTCCTTCAGTGTTTGTTATGATCCCCAGCTGTCAATCAAGTTTGTAACACTCACTAACTATTAAAAATACACTATAAGTGCAGTGCAAAGTTTACTTGCATTATTCACAGAAGATTGTAAAAAAGGTAAGGATTCACCTTGACAAGCAAGAAGAGAAAACTAAATTAAAAGAAGTCTACACTCTCTAACAAAACCAAAGTGTACTCACCCTTTGCTTAACAGTAACGTGTATAACAGGGCGGGGGCCTGTACCATGATGGTAGTTGAACAAACTCAGGGTTGCAGGATTAGTTTCGAGATGACTAAACCAAACCAATCCAACCAGGCTTTGTTGGTACCATGATGCTGGTCATCAACTTTCTCTGTCAACTCAGACTTTGATCCTTTAGGAGTTTAGGTGTGACATCAGTAGCCAAGCACATGCTGAGAATGAGTGAAACTTATTCAAAACTCATTGAAATTAATTTCTCGCGAGAGAAGTAGCCCAATTCACTTATTAAATAAAAATATTAAGAATTTAAACAAATCTACACAGCAAGAAAATAGCTGTCTATGAAAGAGGACACCTAAAAGAAAGTGTCGATACTGTATATCAGTGCAAGTAAAAGTAGTTAAGTTAGTTTATACAGTTGATAAAGGTATAGAGAGAATTGAACATTTAAGCTCATCATTTTATAGCTTCATTTATTGATTCTAAAGCGTATTTATTAGGGCTGTCAAAATGATTAATCGCGATTAATCGCATCCAAAATAAAAGTTTGTGTTTACATAAAATATGTGGGTGCACTGTGTATATATATATATATATATATATATATATATATATATATATATATATATATAAATACACACACATGCATGTATATTTAAGAAAAAACTATTATTTATATATAAAATATTTATATATAATATAAATTATTTATAAATCTATATACAGTATATACATGAAAATATTTCTTAAATATATACAAGCATGTGTGTGTGTTTTTATATATATATATATATACATGAAAATATTTCTTAAATATATACAAGCATGTGTGTGTGTTTATATATATATATATATATATATAATAATTATACACAGTGCCCCCACATATATTATGTAAACACAAACTTTTATTTTGGATGCGATTAATCGCGATTAATCGTTTGACAGCCCTAGTACTTATATTACTTATTCATTTAAAATCTGCATAATAATAATTGATGAACTGAAATTGTACATGTACATAATTACTAAATAATTATTAAAATAATTTCTAAATCATACAAATTTATTTACTAAAAGCCATGATTTTGTCTTTTAAAATCATCTGCTATGTAATGACCTTTAATTTGTGGTAGAAACAGGTGGAGTGACTTTATCATGTCAGACATGTGTCACTTTGCTCACAGCTGATTGGTCCAAGTTCGTTTTGCGACCTCTTACCTGGAACATAACCTGCCCCGGACCAGGTTAGCCGTTACTATGGCGATGAACACTGCTAAAAACCAATCCACTTTCATGGTGCCTAAAACCCAAACTAAAATGAAACATAGCTGGCTTTTCACCTAAACCGGCTTCATGGTATAGGCCCCTGTCTTTCATTGTTATAGGGAATATAAATGTAATCATTCTAGAAGTTACCCAGGTAAAAGAATTCGTCTTGTTTAAAATAATCAGATTATTACATACCATGTACACATTGTGATCAATTCAAATAATCTATTTAACTATTAAGTTAAAAATAGTATGTACTTTTCCCAATTAGCTCTGTAAAACTAGCATGCCATTATTATAATACTCTAATTCCATTGTAAAGGATTTATTAATATCATTCGCATTTTCGACATATCATGTGCTGTTTGATATCGACCCAAGAGTTCTGATGTTTTATTTATAATGTATAATGGCCACATTTAATGACTAATCACCCCTAAATAAACATGTCCTTCACTTATGTGAGGTTATTTCTTGCTTGCTGGTCTTTGTTTGTGAATATGACTCGGGTTGGTGCTCTTCTATTCTGTCTTGCCTCTTGTGTTTTGTGTGGGCACATGACCTCTGTCATGCCGGTTTGTTTTGTCAAGTTGTTAATGTTGGTCATGTGCTCATGGGTTCCACCTCCTTTGGTACCTTTCTTAAAGGGGTCATGAACTGGCTTTTTAAATTTTATTATATTGTTGTCTGAGGTGAACTTATGACGCTCGCTTGGTTGTTTCATTCAAAAACATCAAAATGAATAAGTAATAGGCTATTTTGTACCATAGTTTTGAGCCTACCTGATAAGCGCTCAGTTTTTATGGCCGTCTCGCACTGAAGACTTGGAAGTAAATGCCCACTGCTGTGAGTGGATAACAGTTTTGCATATTATAATGAGTTTCAACTTAATCGTTGGTGCGCGTTGGGGAAATTGTTTTGAAAAGTCCAATGTTGTAAAATGGCAACCGGAATAATTCGCCCATACATGTTCGACCCTAGCCTGACTATGTCAGACCTTCTACTTTCGCTAATTTCATTTCGCTCCTGTAGTCAGTCTGAGATAGCAGCCTATCTTTTAGTTTTCCACCGTTCTGAAAACAGCCAGCCAATCAACGAACAGAGGGCGGGCTGAGAGACGTGACGTAGACGCTAAGCGCCAAGTTTACATTGTAGGTTAGAGAAATCGAAAACCGAAACGACCGCAGAAATGGGAAACGAGACACAGGATGCAATTCGCTCTGTTATGGAGAACATACCGGGGTTTTTCAAACTGAAGCAAAAGTCGTTTACAGCCATGTTCACTCCGGTATTTTGCTCACATCATCAAGTGTTTGGCAAATGTAGGCGAAAAACAACTTTGCCACCCCTCTATTTGCAACGTATACCAGCAACAACAAACAAAGACCAACATGCCATATAACGCGGAAAAAAAAACTAGTCTAAAGTCATTGGCTTTGCACGTTGTTAATAATGCTATTTTAAGGGCGCATGCTTGGTCATTATGTAGCTTGTGCACAACGCGCATACACTTTTTATTGCGCCGTTTTTATTTTTGCAAATCATACATTATAACAAGGAAACAGATTTCAGATCTCAAACAGATCTCATTCCCCATTGACTACCAGTCAATAGGGAATGAGATCTGTTTGAGTAAAACATTCTTCCAAATATCTTCCTTTGTGTATAGCAGAACAAATAAACACATAGAGGTTTGGAACAACATGAGGGTGAGTAAATACTGACAGCATTTTCACTTTTGGGTGAACTAACCCTTTAAAAAGGACTGAATTGGTTTGATATGAAAAGAAAACTAAATAAAAAAAACTCACATTTATATAATCATAAAATAAACCTCAGTGGTTGACACACATGCTTTTAATAACAGCGACTGTCAACATTGTCTGTTCTACTTTTCAGGAAGGCCTTAAGCGGATAGTTCAATTTGAAATTAATTTTTGGTATGTTTTAGCTTACCTCAAGGGCATCCAAGATGTAGGTGTCTTTGTTTCTGCAGTATTTTCAGTTTTGATATTTTTAGGTCAAACCGTTCTTGTCTGTCAGTCATATAATGCAGGTCACCACCTCAAAGAGCATGCACAGAGAAGTCCAAATTAAACATGATTTAATGACTCCTACTGTAAATGTAAGTACACAAATGTAAGTACACAACAAAACGAGCGGTTTGTGTGAGAAAACGAACAGTATTTATATCGTTTTACCTCTTGTAATCACAGCCACGTCCAAGTGATCTGAGGGCGCGGGCGCTTCGGTGCAAAGGATTGTGGGTGATTGGAGGAGATGAAGGATACACTTGATGCATTCTTCAAAACACGGACACAAAATGAAGGCTGCTTTCCAAGGATTTTTCCATTTGAGAGACAGTTCAGGTAGGAAGTTCGGTGACCGACAACTTGTGTATTTTCAGAGTGAAACGGTAAATTGAATGAGAAAACAGAAGGTGTGGTTTATTTTTTCCTGCTGTAATTGATATGATCCATTTTTATTTTATGCCAATCCTGCAATGATGCTAACGTGAAGGTAAATAGGTATGTGATGACGTCACTCTCTTTCCCTTTACATGCAAACCTGGGGAGCTTTTATGGTACCGCGGCGCGGCATGAAACCTCGAGCCTGTCAGGCTGATCCAATTCTGTAAAACTGGACTATTCCATACCACGCTTTTGCCATGATTACATAAATTGTGGCTCGAGAAACCACACATCCTACATATGGAAGTAATTTACTGATGATATCCAGAAGATTTAGCTTGTTTAATTACTGTTTTGATTTCAACAGGTTTTGAGAATACGTGGTTCCTAATATGACAACTCCCAATCCAGGGCCGAAAGCCTCTGATGGTTTTCATTGAAATGACTGCCTTAAAGCTCAAGTCAAACAAATGACTTGAGGGTTAATGGTCAGTCACTCTTTGCCTGAATGAAACTAAATAAATATGTGGACGTAACCTTTTACATTGGCAGAGCACTAGGCTTTCCATGGTCAACGCAGTCTTAACATGCGGACAGACTTCAACAAAATCCTCTTTGCTTTGGCGTTCAACAGCATTTGCTGAAATTTCCTGCTTTTTCAGCAGTGATGGGCAGTAATGCGTTACATTAATAGTAGTTTTTAAGTAATTACCAACAAAATTTCAGTAATAATATTACATCATAAAATAGCACCATTGAGTGTTTGTAATAATTTCCGATTGCAATCTAATGTGGACTTTGAGGATCCCTGATGGTTTACACTGAAACCTCCAATAAGTTAACACAACTAACTAACTAAATTAAAGGGGTCATGAACTGGCTTTTTAAATTTTATTATATTGTTGTCTGAGGTCAACTTATGATGTTCGCTTGGTTTTTGCATTCAAAAACATCAAAATGAATAAGTAATAGGCTATTTGTACCCAAGTTTTGAGCCTTCCTGAAAAACGGTCGGTTTTTATGGGCGTGTCGCACTAAAGACTTGGTAGTAAACGCCCTCTGCTGTGAGTGGATAACAGTTTTGCATATTACAGTTTTTTGCATATTCGAGTTTAACTCGCCTGTCGGTGCACGTGGGGGAAAACGTCCAGTGTTGTAAAATGGCAACCGGATTCGCCCCCATACATGTCAAGGGGGTAATCCATCAGCCGGAAGTTGAAGCTGCCTCCGGGGCATACTTTGCTTAAAGATCTGCCAGTCGTTCACCTTTTCGGTAGCCAGGTTATCAAAGATGCGGCGGGTGGCATGGTGGAAGTCTGTGCCGATGTTTGGATCACTGAGTCCAGGCGAGGCTGAGCCTTGGTGTGCTGGTTGGCTCGCAGCTTTGAGCTGGGCCACCAGCAATGGATGGTCTGTATTGCCAAGTTCTGCTCCTCTGTACACACAGCAGTTGGTGACAAACGGCATCCAGCATCGAGAGATGAGGATATGGTCCAGCGCTTTCCTAGTTCTGCCATCTGGGCTGTACCATGTCCAGTGGTGGATGCTTCCGAGGAAACCAGGTATCGGCAACACTGAGTTTGTTGTGGCGGCAGAGAAGGAAAAGGCGGTTACCATTGTTGTTTGTGGACCTGTCAGCAAAGGTTGCATAAATTCATGCAAAAGAGTCGCATGAATTCCTGTGTATGACCAGAAGATGGCACGTGGAGCTGAATCAAACATCCATCCAACCATCCATCCTTTTTTCAAACCGCAAGTCCAATGTGGTAAAAGCGTTATTTCATACAGGTATAAATTTGTTTGTAATTTATTATTGCTTAATATTTAAGTAATAGCTTAATTTAGTTTCCATGACAGAGTTCAAGACAATTTTTTTTCATCTTAGTTACTGGAGCTGCCAGTTTTAAGTTTTTAAATGCTATTAAACAGCAAGCACAAACTATGCAGCCTTTCCGGCGCTATCATTGCCCTAATTCACTCACTCACTCACTTTCATTCACTCCTTAAAGAGAGCTATATTAGTGGACTAATGTAGGTGAATGAGTGTAGGGGGTCAATTTCGTACACAGGCACTAGATAACAATGACGAAGAACACAGGCAAACAGAAACCGAATAGAACCAAATCAACACAGAATAGTACAGTATTATTAATGTTTAAAATTAACAACTGATTATACAAACGCATAAGGGAATTATATGTAGTTATATATAATTGAACTTTTCAGTGTAAGACATTTTTGCTAAATGCTCCTCTCTGTAGAGTTAGCCTATCGAGTTTAAGGTCATTGAAAGGCTTTTCTGAGGTAAATGTAACCTTAGGTGACTTTTTACGAGCTGTTTTATTGACCTGTTTCTGTGGTTTAAACCCTGATTGAGTAATTGCACGAGACATGATACATTTCAGCAAGTTGTTGTGTATCAACAGGGTTGATTGTAGGCTACCATGTAAACATTAGGCTAACATTGTCAATAGCTGAAACTATGTTCAAAGATTATACTAAATCAAGAAATCTGTAGCAACGATTCCAAGAATTTTTAAAACCAAGTTTTGCATGAGAATGATGTCGGTGTGTGTTGGTTTAGTTGGAGCAGGAGAAAGACAGTGCATCATGATCTTTTCCTCACTCGCTCTGCGCTCGATTTACAGTAAAACCACCGGACGCCACTGCGCGCGCTTGACTCAACTCCATTCAGTTCCACACACTATTTCATATTTCGACACCACTGGAGCTCTTTGCAGACTGGGATTATGGCTTACTGGTTGCGATATACATTATTTCTGACTGCTGTTCTACGTGTATGGTCATCTACTGAGGCGAACCGAAAACGAGAGTTCACTGAGGCACAGGTAACAACGTGATTTAAATGCATGTTTTTGTAGGTTTCTTATGCAATACTAGTATCGTCTACTTTTTACACGAATCAAACAGCCAGAAGACAATGCTAAAAAATAATACAGACTTAAAAAAATAAAAATAAAAACAGGAATTCTGAATGAATCTTAAAGTTTACGGGAAGTTAAAAGAATTATAATTATATGAATTCTATCTATTAATACTATTAAATGCAATGTATATATGCCTTGCATGTCTATATTACATATTCATGTTTTTAGTACATGGTTTTAAACTATTTTTCTTTTAAATAATTGTTCTAGGATTACTTAGATTGAAACAACAACAACAACAAAAAAAACTATTATTTTGGCAGAGAATGTAATTATTAATATTTAACGGTGCAAATTGCTTTTGAATGCATTTCAGTGTGGCTTCGTTGTGTCCATCACTTGTGTTTACTGCTATGACAAAAATATGATAATATTGTTTAGTTTGGAGAAAAATTCTAATTAAATAGCAACATTTGAAGCAGGTGTTTGAACCTTCAGACTTAAAATCAGCCACAGTTTGCTGGTTTTGACAATACATCTTTAATATTTTAACATTCATAATACATGCATTTACATTTTTTTAATGATTAATGGGGTAGTTTTTGTTAGACTGCATATATTTTCACATTTCATAGATATACCTAAGGCGGTTTGGATATCTAGATACTCCACTGAACCCGGAAGCTCAGAAAGATTCCAGTGACTGGGATATGAAGGTGGCTGTTAGGTAAAATCAATTTTGTCATTATACACACACACACACACACATTTAAAAAATGCATGTCAAAGGCTTGATTTTACCACTGACTTGATCCAAATTTCATACAAATTCTTGTGGAGCACACTCACATTGTAATCTCTGTTGTGTCGTGTCGTATTTGTGAAGTCTCTTTCAGAGGGTGTCAGGGCTGTCAGTCACTGGACGTCTCGACAGAGCTACCCTTCTTAAAATGAGGCAGCCGCGGTGTGGTGTCGAGGACCCCTTCAACCAGAAGTCTTTAAAGTACAGGCGATTTGGTGGTGGGTCCCTATACTTCCAGACTGTTTAATAATTTAATCAATTACTAAATCAGAAACAACCCTTTCTATTCATAAGAAAGGGTCATCTTAGTGCATTGCGATGCATGCACAATGCTTTATAATATGTTGTATCATTTTGTATCATGAATAATGATACAAAACAACATTTCACATTATTATTATACTTGCTATTTGTGTTTATAACTTTGAAGAGTATGAGGATTCATAACATGATTTACACTTTTTTACTCACTTAAAGGAGTAGCTTTTGCTGATAATTTACTCACCCCCATGTCATCCAAGATGTCCATGTCTTTCTTTCTTCAGTCGAAAAGAAATTAAGGTTTTTGATGAAAACATTCCAGGATTTTTCTCCATGGACTTTAATTATGAAGCGAAACGATCGCTCATTTAATAAATAGATAACAAAGTTAAAATTTTATAAGCACTAATGGTCGCCTTGCTCTGTTCTGTGATGCGCGTTTGTGACTCTTCTGTTCGAACTCGTTAATCAAAATGAAGGAATCTTTTTTCGTGTCATTTGGTTCATTCAATGAACGAAAGGAACGAATTGACTCTGGAAAAGATTAGTTCAGTTTGATAAACGAGTTCGAACAGGAGAGCCACAAACGTGCATCACAGAACAGAGCAAGGTGAGCATTTGAGCTTCTAAAACTTAAACTTTGTTATTTTATTTTTAAATGAGCGATCGTTTCGCTTGATAAGACCCTTATTCATCGTCTGGAATCGTTTAAAGCCCTTTGAACAGTTTGCAGTTTGCACTGAAACTGTCTTTTGGACCTTGAACCATTTGGTTCCCATTGAAGTCCATTATATGGAGAAAAATCCTGGAATGTTTCCATCAAAAACTTTAATTTCTTTTCGACAGAAGAAAGAATGACATGGACATCTTGGATGACAAGGGGGCGAGTAAATTATCAGCAAAAGTTTTTTTTTTTTTAAATGAACTACTCCTTTAAGTTAGATCAGATTGTACACTTGTAAGAATGAGTTGTGCTGTTCCAGTGACGGTCCTGAAAGCCAGCGTCAACACTTTAAATTTAATTCTGGATGCAAATGTGGTCCAGTTATTAACTTCATTTAGGCTCAACCAAACCTGCCTTGCAAACAAACCTCATTGCAGAAGCTCAAATGTACTAAACAATAATAAACAATTGAATATGATCATTTACAATTTATGTAATAAAGGATAGAATGGAATGGTAGGCAATGACGAAAGTAATCAACTTTGCCCTTTACATGGAAAAAAACAGCTGTTTGGGTTTTCAATTTGTGTTTCTTATTTCGTAGGATTTTGGCGAAAGAAAAACTTAACATATCGGATTTACAGCCACACACCAGATATGGGGAAAAGCGCGACACAGACAGCCATACGCTCTGCCTTTGACTACTGGAGCGAGGTCACCCCACTCGTCTTTAAAGAGGTCAGCTCTGGGCTTGCTGATATTAGGATCTCATTTCACAAGAGAGATGGCTGTCCTTCACCTTTTGATGGTCCTGGTAAGTAAATCTCACCAAATTAATCATATTATTATTTAAAGGGATACTTCACCTCAGGAAAGATGGATGTGTATTTAAAATGTGTCATTTATGTAGAAGAAATGTGAAATTATTTTTGAATTTGGAGCTTTTTAGACTGAGAAAAGCCAGAAAATGTATTTTTGGCTTATGTGGATGAAAGACAACAACTCCCAGAATGCACTTGCTTCGCTGCCCTAGAAGGCCTTTAATTTGCTGTTACTTACTGAGTAGTTCATCTTGTTTCAGTATTAGTATTAGCTGAAGTGTTAATGTAGAACTCATTTGTCCTGCATTACTTCCTTCATGACGGAGCCTATTAATGACGGAGCATTATTCTAAAGTGTTACGTAATAATCTGTTTTTAGGCCATGTTCTCGCCCATGCTGAAGCCCCTCCATCAGGAATAGTTCACTTTGATGAAGATGAATTCTGGACTGAAGGGAAGTATTATGGTTCTAATCTGCGCATTGTTGCGGCTCATGAGATCGGCCATGCTCTTGGCTTGGGTCATTCTCAGTACAGCGGTGCTCTAATGGCAGCGCACTACACCGGCTACCAAGCTAATTTTAGACTGCACATCGATGATATCAGAGGAATCCAAGCCATATATGGTGAGATAATCGAGTGAATCTTTAAATAAATTAATGTTTGCCAATGTATATATCTGTCTTTGCTAATTACTCTCATCAATTCAGGTAAAAAGATCTCCAGTACGACTACTGCTGATGATATCTATGACGAAATATATCCCACAACCATGGCCCCGTTCCCCAGGAGTGATGTGCTAGATCCATGCAATGCTAAACTTGATGCTATAATGCTGGGTGAGAAAACCGTGCCGTATAACGATGCACATGACCTCAGTTCATTCAAGTTCAACAAATGCTTGTTCAATAACTAATTATATAATGATGTACTGTATGTTATGGAAATTTTTTTTTAAAAATCTAAAATTATTTGTCTTAGGTCCCTGGCGCAAGACGTATGCGTTTAGTGGGGATTATGTGTGGACGGTAACAGATATGGGCCATAACTCTCCAGTCAAAATAAGTCTGCTATGGAAGGGGCTGCCAGGAAACCTGAATGCAGCTGTATATTCCCCAAGAACCAACAAGACATACTTCTTTAAAGGTAGATCATTCTACATTAAAGTGGTGTTTTATACGCTTTTAAAAATGTTTGATTGAAAATTGTATTGGAGCCATAATAATGAATGTAATATAGGAGGAGATTTTACTCACAAAAGTCCACGGTCCAATGGGAGAAATGGGAATATGGCAGCTATAGTCCCATCTTACAATTAAAGCTTGTCAACTTGATTTTATTTATATGCAATAGTGTTTTATAGTAACCAAAGGTAACAATGGCAAGGAAACCAAAACTCAATCAGGTGATACACTGAAAAAAAATTGGTATAGAAACAAGTTTCCCTCAGAAATTTCAGAAATCATGTTTAAAAACATCAAATTTTGAAGTGCAAGACTAAAATAGTGTTTTATCGTAAAACATACTCCAATAATCTTTGTTTTGTAACTTTTGGCCGTCTAGAGGTTAAAAAACAAAACTGCATGCATTTTGCAGAAGAACATTGTTTTGGTTTTACTGTTTAAATTGGTCAGCGCATCGCTGGTGAGGATTGTTCGCGCCGCGCTGACCATTGAGTGTCGCTAGAAAACACCTCCACGCTGCGTTGGCGAATCGGCTGCGCGGTTCGGACCATTGAACCACGCAGATGACCGTAAAAAAAGAGTGTTGCACTTCTGAAGAGGGAAAACTGAAAAACAAAATTATGTTTGCAGAGATTTTACTTTTTTAACCACTTTTCAAGCCTGCAAAACAATGTTTTCAGAGTTACAAAACTTTTTTTCACTCATTCGCACACCAGTTTTCAGATCACCATTTGCAAGGTTTCAAACCTGGAAAACAAACTAATATAGTGGGAGAAAACTGACAAATTTGAAACTCTGAAAATTTGTTTGCACAACATCGTAAAAAAAATGTTGAAGTTCTGAAAAAGGAAATCTCAAAAACAACAACTTTTTCAGATATTTAAAAAAAAAAAATTATTTTGCAAGCTTGCAAATCTTATTTTTCGATCTTGCAAAACTTTTTTTGTAAGATTTTGACATTTTGAACATTTAGTTTCAAACTTTCAGTTTTGAATCATGGCAGGATTTTAATCCCATAGTCTTACAGTTAAAAAAGTCTTTAAGTAATGTAACGGATGGCTCTCGGCAAATCAAGTGCGATAAAATAAAGAAAAACAAGTTTGGTGTGAGCGAAACCCATGGGGAGAAAAAACTGGACTGTAAATTGTTCATGATCGCATCACTACTTTTTTTTGGGCGGGAAGTGAATGGTCAAGTAATTGGTCAAATGATTTGTGTGGTAAACCCAGTAACATTAGGCCACAAGTGCTGTTGATTGAGCTTAAATTGTACCAAACTCTGAATATTTCTTTAAAAACATCTTACAGCTTTCATACACAAATGTTCATTGGATAATTTATGTCAGTACTTAACTGAAGTGTTTTCTTCTACCCACAGGTGAAAAAGTCTGGAGGTTCACAAATTACCGCCTTGACTATCGATACCCCAAACCACTAAAAAGAATCCCTGCCAACATCGACGCTGCATTGTATTATGAGAAGAACAAGAAAATCTTCTTCTTTAAGGTATAGTGAGATTTTAACATAATTAACCCTTCGCTAAGCCCCGCCCTCCCTAGTTATTGTCAAGCTTTCACCCCTGGCACGTCTATTACATTGTGTATGCACCGGTGTCAGACATTCCCAAGGAGATTATTACTCATTTTTGGTGAACATGTGAAATATCTGAGAGAGCCAGACTAAAGGGACTACAGTATGCATTCGAGGGATATATTCACAACATAATATGCAATCGAGTAGAGAATAATTTCATAGCACGTAGGGCTGTCGCGATAACCGCAATATTGTAGTACCGCGTTTCTGACAAGTCAACCGCAGAGGATTGCTCGTAACCGCAGCAACCGCGATATTCATTTTTTTTTTTATAAGGCTATACCATTCTTGTTTTGAACTTCATGCATAAGTATTGAATGTTAAACAAGTTCATTATGATAACAACACAGAGGCTACAGAGGCTTCACGCATACAGTGAATGACCAGCCCGTTCTCATCCTTTAGCGTCACATAAAACGCTATATGACAAAACGGCGCTATACTACGCACATGGCACCTTTTATCGTTAATATTCACGCAAACCCAAGGCGTCATAAATCCTTTAGCGTAATATGAGACTACCCTACCCTACCCCACACCTAAACCTAACCATCACAGCACGTGTTATATTAACGATAACGGGTGCCATGTGCGTAGTATAGCGCCGTTTTGTCATATAGCGTTCTATATGATGCGTTTCCCGTACAACGACATAGTTCGCTGCTTCACTACCATAGTACGATGCATCGTTGGAGAAATCAACTAGCTAGTCACGACTGTTTCCCAAAAACCCAATGACGCAAAGGATCGTTCAACCACGTTAGTTTCGCATGTGGTGGAATAATAACTACTTTTAATGAAACTGTTTGAGATCCAATTAACGCTAGATTTGTTTTATATAAATTACAAACATGTCATCTGAGGACTATTTCTAATTGTTCTCAGTTATTTTGCTTTATCACCAGACTCAATATTTGGCTCGTTCTTACATAGTAGAGCACGTTCGCACATGCACACTCTTCAAACACGTTACTTTTAAATCTTTTGACAAACTAAAAGGCGTAAATTACATTTGTGTGTATTCTAAATAAAAGGCACCGGTTGTACTGAATGTCAGCTTGCTTATTTTGCTCAAGATAAAGATTTATTACGTCCAAATGTGATGCAATATAGAAACTACGCCTCTAACCACAGGTCGAGAGCTTTGCGACGCTGTTTGCGAATGTTTGTTGGAACGATTGTTCCGGGAAACACCGACTCGTTGAACTATGCTGATAACGACAAAACTTGCGACCATAGTTGGCTAACGATGCTTTCGGGAAACGCACCCGCAGTAAATGGGCCCGCGGGGAAATAAAATCACAGAGTCACGCATTGAATCAATGACATATTGGTCTCTAATAAGTTAAGCATTAGCTTCAGCGTTACCCATGTGAGCCTTGAAAAGTGGAACTCAGAGTTAAAAATAACTAACATCTTATTTCACTTGTTCGTTGAACGAACGGTTTAATGACTCACTCAAAGTCCGTTGTCATAACAATGTGCGCGCTGAGTGAAAGCCGTTCAATTGCGCATATAGATGCTCTTTAGTTTTGGTTATTGGTTTAATGTCCTCGTTTTTGTCCACATCATAAACTTTATTTATATAGCAACAAATACATTTAAATTAAATAAATAAATGGCGGTAATACCGCATATCGCACTATTGAGCCACTCAACATTACCGCAAGGGAAATTTCATAACCGCCACAGCCCTAATAGCACGTTCCCTCACTCGAAAGCTTGCCAGACCTCCCGGGCCTAGTTACGGTTGCTAAGACATGATTGGCCAGTGGCGGTTTTTGGGCGTGGCTTAGCGAAGGGTCAATTATACACAACATATGCTTAAAGGAGAACACCTGCGAACAATGAACCTTTGGTCTAATAAAACATCGATACCTAGTCAACCGTTCTCTGAGATTTGTTTTCATGATAATCGAATGTAAAGTGTTTTATCTCTAAAAACTGTTTAGCGTATAATTCTAGTTCTGGGGGCATTTACTAAGTACAAAGAAATCGCTAGTTTATACCACTAACAAGGCTCAAAATAGCCCCACACTAACACAGTAACATAATGAGGCTCCATACATACAAAACGAAGCATTGACTCAATCGACTTCTTATTAAACGGTCTGTACACTTTAGGGCTGCAACAACTAATCGATAAAATCGATTATAATCGATTATGAAAATCGTTGTCAACGAATGTCATTATCGATTAGTTGGTCTGATTACGTCACGGGGATTGTTTACATGGAACATGCGCTTCTTACATGCGTCTTCGTGAGGCGCACACGCAGTCTCTCTCCCTCGCCGCTCTACCCTGTCTCGCGCGCGCAACACGGACGGTTTGGAGCACATTATCTTCTGTCTCGCATGCGCGCTCTTGATTCCGTGAGTTTGAACTAATTTGCGGGCATCAGGAAACCGCTATCAATATGCAGCATACACGAAAATCAGTCACCTTTCGGCAAATTCGCCGTTTTGAAACCAAAATAGGTGACCTACGTTAATCGTGTATACTTTATGAAGCCATACTATAGTATAATGTGAGATAGAAATGTATATTTAAGTCATTAAATTCAAGTTAACGTAAGCTTTTCCCTCCACTGCGGCTGTCAGTCATTCTCTATTCGGTGTTCAACAGCGCGTCGCGTTCGGTTACAACAGTTAACATGATGAAACTCTTTCCAAGATGATTCAATGTTATTATTATAATTGATCCGTAGATAAAGGTCTATGATGTTTTTTCTATCTTGCTAGACTTTTATTGCTGTAACTTAATCACTTTCTACTGAGTGTCTGTTAGATCACAACACTATAGTAGAGTCGGCGCAGTATAATTGTTCTTCACGTGCACAGTAGCCTAACTGAAATTTAAAACTGTTAAAAGAAAAGGCTTAATAAACTATTGCAAAGATACTGTATAATACACAGTCAATATGTCTTTCTCTTTCCTTGGTGCTTTTAACTTTAATGCGGCGGACACTGAAGAGCTGCGCGCCGCCCTGTGACTCCGTGTTGCTTCAAGCGCATCATTCAGCGCTCGCGATGCACATAAGCACTTTGTGCAGCTCTTTCATGATCATGTCATAATACTTTTGCACAATGAAAGCTTATTAATAGCCTTTCTTGTTCTGTCCTATCTATTATATTTTGCTTCCTCACTAAATGTGCTTTACATTTAAAGCAGCTGTGCATCTGATTCTTACGATGTTTTTCATGAATGTATAACAACAATACAAAGAGCAATGTGTAACGTTTTACCAGAGTTAGTGCTACACTTATTGTCTCTTATTTGTTCCCCACTAAGGAATGTTTTTTTCACTAAATGTTCAGATTTTATAAAATAATTGTGCACTTGTGATATTTCTAGGCTAAGTTTTGCTGAGTTATCCACTAATCTAGTTTACAATAGCTTTTTGTCATAGGTTATGGTCATATATATTTTTTTTATTTGTTGTTTTTCTTTATAATGAAGTTGTCTGTATTAAGTAGATTGTTTAACACACAAAAGAGTGTGGTTTTTAGGGTTTTATTTAGTTATAATAAACAAAAAAAATGAAATAATTTTTTTATCCGATTAATCGATTAATCGAAAAAATAATCGTCCGATTAATCGATTATCAAAATAATCGTTAGTTGCAGCCCTAGTACACTTACAAAGTTCTCAGTGCCATTAATAAGAAGATACTTTATGAAGACAGTTCACTTCGCGTTTACAGACAGGATCCATCTTAAAAAATAGTCTCGATTCATGGACATAGAGCACTTAGAGGACATAGATAGACATACTGACTCTCCTGTTCAAACTCGTTAATCAAAATGAATGAATCTTTTTCTGAGTCATTTAGTTCATTCAATGAACGAAACGAACAAATTGACTCATAAAAAGATTTGTTCACTTTGATGAACAAGTTCGAACAGGAGAGTCACGAACGCACATCACAGAACAGAGTAAGGCGAGCATTTGAGCTTATAAAACTTAAACTTTGTTATTTATTTTTGAAATGAGCGATCGTTTCGCTTGATAAGACCCTTATTCATCGTCTGGAATCATTTAAAGTCCTTTGAACAGTTTGTACTGAAACTGTCTTTTGGACCTTGAACCGTTTGGTTCCCATTGAAGTCCATTATATGGAGAAAAATCCTGGAATGTTTGTCATCATCAAAAATCTTAATTTCTGAAGAATTCAGAAATTTGACAGAAGAAAGAAAGACATGGACATCGTGGATGACATGGGGGTGAGTAAATTATCAGCAAAAGTTTTTTCAAAAGTGAACTAATCCTTTAAATCCTTGTTTCCAGGGCTCAGGCTATTGGCAGTGGGATGAGATGGTTTATAATGATCTCAGCATTTATCCCAAACCCATTTCCCGTCTGTTTACTGGCATCCCATCAAATCCTGATGCAGCTTTCACATGGACCAATGGGAAGATGTATTTCTTCAAGGACGACAGGTACTGGCGCGTGAATGAACAACTCTCTGCTGATTCTGGATATCCACTCAGCAAGCGTGTTCGCTGGATGAGATGCAGCTAATCTGCCCCGTCGTGTGTTTTTTAACTCAGTGAACGTTTAAAGTGTGGAACTTTTGGCCCTCAGCTTCGCACACACACACACACACACCCACAGCCCCTTTTCTCTGTGTACGGATATGACGTGAATGATATATGTATGCGAGTTCCCACGTAGTCTCTTCTGACAGCTCTAAAATATCATATTTAATGTAGGTTTATGAAAGTGTATTTGGGCAAAGACATGGTTTGGAAGATGAATTTGCACTCTTATTAATGATATTTTGTTATTTATTATCATTATCAAGTTAGATATAGTTAAAACTACACTCATTTTTGTCTGATGCTTTCATTTCTTTGATTAAGACAGAAGATACTGAATACTGAAGTTCTTTTGGTCAGCATGAAGTCTGTTAAATCTACAGTCACACTGAGAATACACTAAGAGAGTTGAATTCATTTAAGCATCATTCACATTATATTTGATGTACTCTGTATGTCTAAAAGAAGGCATTTCATTTCAAACATACATGCATTTAAAAGACGTCTAAACACAGGCGTGACATCTAGGCTAAAACAAGGCAGAATTAGTGAAAATTGAATAACCATAGCCCAAGAATAGACTAGTCTAGAACATGAACATGTCAAAGAAAGTAAATCAAACACACTGTTGACTTTGCTTACATGATGGAATATCAAACATCTTGCAAGTTATTTTGTCCAAAAAAAAAAAATTATGCGTTTTTATTTAGTACAGTCCTGAATAAGATATTTTATATGAAAGATGTTTAAATTTATGAAAATGATGGGGGGTGAAAACTTTTGAACAGGATGATCAGGGTAAAATGTACTTGTTTTGTCTTCTGGGAAACATGTATGTTATAAATAAAAAATATTGTCTTTAAACAAAATTTACACATCATCTACATCCTGTTCAAATGTTTTCACCCCCACCTCTTTGTTCATGTATTCAATTGAGTTGCTTGGAAATATGTTCTATTTTCTTTGTATAGTTGTAGTTTCATTTTGTTATTTAATACACCACACACAGCAATTTATTGTTGCGAGTTCCTTGAATAGATATTTTTATATTGCAATTCCCAATTTTAACACAACAAAAATCCAATATATTGTGTAAAAAGATTTGATTGTGTTGTCAAAGCAGCAGCACAAGGGACAATTTGTAAAGTTTGATGAACTGTATGAAATAACTAAATGAATCAAATGCAATCAACAAGCAATTATTACTCATGGTCTGTCTTCTTTGCCATTCAATTACAAAAAGCGACACTAGTTTTCCTAGTCCGTAAACTTTCTAAGGGGAAATTAAAGATTTGCTATTAGGTACTTTTTTATATTAGTAGTTGGACTGCCCTCTTAAAAAATCTTTGAAATAATTTAATAGTACCGAACAATTCCCTGCATGCATTTTTACATGTCTCTTGTACAGAATATAATATGTGGTTATTAGGAATAAACTAAACTAAACCATTTTGTATGCAGAACAGATTGCATCTTTGTTAAATATTATATTTAGTATATACTAAGATGCTTTATAAAAAAATTGATAATGATAATTTATCACTAGGTCGTCTTCATCTATTCAAACACATTCACTGTTAGTTATGAATATCCCACTTTTTTTCTCACAAATTTGAGTTTATTTCTAACAATTCTGCTTTTCTTTCTCACAATTTTCAGTTTATCTCTCACAATTTTAATTTTATACCTCACAATTTTGAAAAATCTCACAATTAATTCAGATTTTCCCCTCACAATTCCAAGTTTATATCTCACAATTTTAATTTTATACCTCACAATTTTAACTTTTTGTCACAATTTCGTGTTTATATCTCACAATTCTGTTTTTCTTTCTCGCAATTTTGTTTATTTCTCACAATTCTGCTTTTCTTTCTCACAATTTTGTTTATTTCTCACAATTCTGATTTTTTTCTCACAATTCCAAGTTTATATCTCACAATTTTGACTTTTCATCTCACAATTCTATTTTTTTCCTGCAATTTTATTTCTCACAATTCCAAGTTTATATCTCACAATTTTAATTTTATACCTCACAATTTTAACTTTTTTGTCACATTTTCGAGTTTATATCTAACAATTCTGCTTTTCTTTCTCACAATTTTGTTTATTTCTCGCATTTCTAACTTTTTTCTCACAATTCTGTTTTTTTCTCGCAATTTTATTTCTCACTATTTTGACTTTTTTCTCACAATTCCAAGTTTATATCTCACAATTTTAATTTTATACCTCACAATTTTAACTTTTTGTCACAATTTCGAGTTTATATCTCACAATTCTGCTTTTCTTTCTCACAATTTTGTTTTTATATCTCACAATTCTGTTTTTTTCTCGCAATTTTATTTCTCACAATTTTGAATTTTTTCTCATAATTCCAAGTTTATATCTCACAATTTTCACTTTTTATCTCACAATTCTTAGTTTTATCTCACAATTTTAATTGTATTCCTCAAAATTCCAAGTTTATATCTCACAATTTTGAGTTTATATCTCGCAATTCTAACTTTATGTGTTGCAATTACAAGTTTATAACTTGCAATTTTGAGAAAGTTATGTTTATAAGATAAAAGTCACACTTTTTTCTTTTATTCCGTGGCAGAAACAAGCCTCCATACTGCTCAGATAACATATTTCAATTGAATATTATTGGTCTTGTACTTGCACACCTCTTCTACACAAGTGTCCTGAAGCAAACCACAGCTTAGACAAATATTTCATTGCTTCTCTTTCCCCTTTGCGTCCTATGATTGCCCTGTGTATGTGAAACGGTGACCATGAAGTGTTGATTGACTCTTTGTGTGCTTTATGAAAATTACACCCACAAAATGATGATCCATTATCTATGACATGCATTTGAAACTCGGGCCTTTCTCTAATGACTTCACATGAATGTTTATGTTGCTCAAACACACTGTGTGGGCTGTTTCTTCACACCGAGCTGTCAGTGTCTGAAGCAGACTGAGTGCTCGTGGGAGAAAAAGAGAAAACTTCACAAACCTGTTTGATCAATCTGAACTCCTCACACATCCGCTACTCAAATGTGCTAAAGTTTTGAGTGCAAGATGATGTATGACAAAATAATTTATCACTAGGTTGTCTTCATCTTTTCAAACACAACCTCTGTATAAATAGTTAGCCTATAAATATCCCACAATTCTGACTTTTTTCCCCTCACAATTTTGAGTTGATATCTCACAATACTGACTTTTTTCTGACAATTTTGAGTTTATATCTGAAGATTCTGACTTTCATTTTTTGTTGTAAATGGTTGTAAACTATCATACTAGAAGAGATAAATTATATAAAGGTAAACCAGGAAATCAATTAAGAATTACACTGAACAAAATTATAAACAATACACTTTTGTTTTTGCCCCCATTTTTCATGAGCTGAACTCAAAGATCTAATCTTTTTCTATGTACACAAAAGGCCTATTTCTTTCAAATATTGTTCACAAATCTGTCTAAATTTGTGTTAGTGAGTACTTCTCCTTTGCCGAGATAATCCATCCACCTCAGTCACAGGTGTGGGGAGGTTGGAGGATTTTCCTTTCAGGCGCAAAATTTATGGGAGAAGAGTGTTTAAAAATGAATCATGCAAGGTGATTTACTAAGGTTTGTGGTAGTTAATTTGCTGTTGTATTATTATTATTTTTGACAAGCTTTACAAGTCCTACACTTCCTTATGAAAAAGATGTTTATTCAAGTGTGCTATTATTTAAACTAAAAATGAGTATACTTTGTCTATTTTTTATGCACTTCTCAGAAATATAGGCTACTTTATGGAGGCTACTTCTCAGAAATATATTAAAATTGGACTTAAGTATACTTGACTTGTACTGACAGAAAAGCGTAAGTATATTTGGCATACTCAAAAGTATAATTAAGTATTCTAAGTATACTTGGCTTGTAATTGTTTTTCTCTTTTGATTGAGTAGCCTATGAAACACTTTTAAATGCTAAAAAGTGGGCAAATTTAGTCACAAGCATATTGAAATAGTAGTAGTACACTTACAAGCCCAGAACATTGATATTAATATCCATACTACATAAAGTATACTTAAAATATACTTGAACATTGCTTGTATACTTCATTAAATGACAATGAAGTACTTGTTTTTGTTAAGGGCTCTTATTTGGCGTTGATGGTTCCATTAAGAAACTTTGACATCCATTAAAACTTTGCATTGCACAAATGTTGCTTTATAAATTTAACATTTAATTTAATATTCAGAAATATTTTTGATCTGCCTGCATTGACACCATTATATGAGAACTAAATTAATAAATTTTTTTACAACAAAAATTAAACATCACTGAACTTACTATACTTAAGCTGGACTGTGATGCTATTTTCTTTTGGAAACAAACTTGCATTATTTTCCTGTTATCTCAGTAAAGCTGCTTTGAAACAAACTCTATTGTAAAACGCAAAAATTGTAAAATTTTTAACTCTATTGTAAAACCCTCTACCAGAATCCAAAGTTTTGAGAAGATTGGAGAAACTTAATTATTTCTCGCCCCGAAAAAAACGACAGGGGTACCTATGTCGTTTTTTTTTTTTTTTTTTTTTTGGGTCGAAATTTTGAGTTTCTCTGATCTTTTTGAAACTCTGGATTCTGATAGAGGGCCACGAGACTTAGACCTGAGTGCAAAAATTGAGGTTCTAGACCCTTCCAGAGCTGAGATATTGAGATATTTATAATGGCTTAAATGCTACGCAGGATCTCAATATCTCAGCTCTGGAAGGGTCTAGAGCCTCCATTTTTGCACTCAGGTCAAAGTCTCATGGCCCTCTATCAGAATCCAGAGTTTTGAGAAGATTGGAGAAACTTAATTTCTCGCACGAAAAAAAAAAAAAAACGAAAGGGTAACGCTGTCGTTTGTTTTTCGGGTCGAAATTTTGAATTTCGATATCTCAGCTCTGGAAGGGTCTAGAGCCTCCATTTTTGCACTCAGGTCTAAGTCTCATGGCCCTCTATCAGAATCCAGAGTTTTGAGAAGATTGGATAAACTTAATTTCTTGCCCGAAAAAAAAACCGAAAGGGGTAACACTGTTGT